CTCTCTCTCTCTCTCTTCATCCATCTCGGTTCCTTGTCTCAAAGTTCAAAGAAAAAAAAGTGGTGATATTGTAGAATTTAAATTATACAATTAATTATTAGATTATTCATCATTTATCTCGTTTAGTTGAATCTCTCTCTCATCCATGCATCTCTTCCTCTTCAACTCGTTCTCGTTGTCCAGCTGCCCCTCTACCCCTCCATGTCCATGCCTACACCGGACTTCCAACTGCGATTGTTTTTTTCTGCACAACTTCGACTCGTTCTCGTTGTGCAGCTGCCCCTCTACCCTCCGTGTCCATGCCTACTCCGGACTTCAAACTGCAGTTGTTGTTTTTTCTGCACAATCTCTCTCTCTCTCTCTCTCTCTCTCTCTCTCTCTCTCTCTCTCTCTCTCTCTCTCTCTCTCTCTGAGATTTCGCAAACTTGGGCTGTGCTAGAGGAGGAGGAGGAAGAAGAAGAAGAAGAAATATAAGTAGTAGTAGTAGAAGAAGAAGAAGAAGAAGAAGAAGAAGAAGAAGACGAAGAAGAAGAAATATTAGTAGTAGTAGTAGTAGAAGAAGAAGAAGAAGAAGAAGAAGAAGAAGAAGAAGAAGAAGAAGAAGAAGAAGAAGAAGAAGAATGGATGGCAGGCCAATGTTTGGGCAGTTTCCCGCCCGAATGTTCAATTACGGGCGGCCTATCTGGGCCGCAGATCTCACCAGATCGACTGCCCAGATAGGCAGCCAGTTTTTCAATATTCTGGCGGGCCTACCGGACCCGGTTCAATTTTTTTTTTGGGGCTGGGAGGCCTCCACGACCCGCATGGAGGCCTCCCGGCCCCAAAAAAGTTCAAACTACCCGCAATCAAATTGCGCAAATAGCAACCAGGGGGGAAGCGGCGCGGTCCATCGGCCGGTAGAACCGGCCCGGTTCCGGTGGGGGAAGGGGGCCCTGGTGGGACCGGGTATTCAGCCTTGGTTAGGCACAGGTCTAGGGATCGAATCTCAGAGTCTGCAAATGTCGGGTCAACTGGGTGAAACCATTTCACTCCCGCCGTCCTAAATTTGAGGTCCTCCGAGAACACTCTAACTCAAGGCAGGACCTTTACCCTTCCTTGCTCTTTCATAGGCCTGCACTATGTCGGGAGCGGTTTCTAAAAGCTCTGTTCCTATGAAGACTTCCTAAAAGTCTGCAAACCACTATGTAGAACTCTTATTACTACAGACAGCTCTCTCTCTCTCTCTCTCTCTCTCTCTCTCTCTCTCTCTCTCTCTCTCTCTCTCTCTCTCTCTCTCTCTCTCTCTCTCTCTCTCTCAACTCAAGAACAACGACGCAGCAAAATGAATTGCAAGTGAGCCCCGTACTTGACAGAGAAAAAAAAAAAGAAAAAAAAAAAGAAAAAAAGAACTAGTGAGCCCCGTACTTGACAGAGAAAAAAAAAAGAAGAAAAAAAGAAAAGAAAAGAAAAGAAAAGAATGAAAAGCAAAAGAACTGGAATAAAGCAATTGAGGGGTTTCTGGTCCTTCTGGACGATCAACAAAAGCCGTACCTCATTTTCCTCGTAAGCCATGGCAGAACCAACGGAAAATCTGACTGGTTTGCGTGCGCCGATCCCTGCAAGTGGAGGACGCCGCCAAGTAGATCAGCATATCGGTGGATACGACTCTGCAGAATACCCACACTTCCGTTGTCACCAGAATAGAATGCCCAGTCATTATAGCTGTATTTGGTCCATCGTGCAGTCCAGATGCAGCGATAATGACCAGGTGAACACGATAGGGATTCCCTGGGTTTTCTAATTACCAAAACTGGCAAAAAGCCCATATCGGAACCAACGGGCAGCATATTGTTCCATGATCACGACACCAGAAAAAAATATTCAACGTGAACACAGTCAACACACACTAATCCTTTTCTTCTCACAGCTGAGTCCTGAGTAGCAATCAGTAAATAAAATGCATACATGTCCTTTCGGGACATCCATTCACATACGAGACCTGTACAGAGAAGATTAGCATGGCCCCCCGTGCAAGGACGACACAAATAAATTGAGAAATGGTCCAAAATATTTTAAATAAAATGCAAGAAGTATGAGTGTGAACGATATACAGAAAACCAAGTTGCAAAATCACACACATGTCCAAGTAGTCATGTACAAGCAGAGAGCACAATTGCACCAAGAATCCGTCCAAATAGAGCAATACAAATGAAGCAATGAGCCAATGTTCAAGCCCGCAGGCCACACCAACACAGTATCCAAAGTCGCTCTTCTCTGTCTGGCGCCCAGCGCCTAGCCTACTCTACTCGACTATCCTACCTACAGCTGTGTTCACGCAACAGGCTCACTTCAACTCTCGAATGTACATGATGTCAACACCATAGCCAACCTCTCTTCATGCACCAGATACGTATCTCGTCACCCTCATCAGAGCTTGAGAACCCACACACTCGCCTCCTTCCCTGAAGACCACCAGATTGCCCCCTCTTACCCCCTAGCGCCCAGCAGCCCCACTATGGCTGCCTGTGCACCGCTGCCCTGCAGCGCCCCACTTCACCTCAACGCGCCCCGCCAGCGCTCTGGCCACAGCACAGCATCCAATGCAGCAGCGCAGCAGCGTGACCGCATTGCCTACGCGGGCCAGAATGCATGACCTGGGCTGCCTCACTTCCTATGTGGAAGTGGCAGACTCCTGGATGCTGTGTGTGGCCTGGGTGGAAGCTTCCAGTAGCTTCCCGTTGGGCCTCAGTTCCTGCAACCAGGCCTGAGACTACAGCTGAGGGCCTGGGCCCTTTACAGTTGGGCACGGCCTGAGTCTCCAGACTTGGGCCGTTTGCTGCATTTGTGCAGGACCCCGGGGTATGTGTGTCGACAGTACTGCTCTTGCATAGGCCGGTAGCCGCTTCATGATGTATCGGACCTGCTTTGTGTATATGTGCCCAGGCTCAACTGCCAAGGCCTGGGCCAACTGTACGATGCAGTTTAGTGAGGCTCACACGTCCACTCAACCAATTGGCGTGCTGCAAGAGCCTGAATACCCACATATGAAAATGTCGAATTTTGGCCTCTGATGAATATTCAGGCCCGCCTTCACTTAGGGTGGGCACTCGGCTCGCTGGGGGCCTCTGCCCAGAACATGTGATGTCTGATAGGGCCCCGTGAGGGCTTGTTCCTCGCAAAAATAAATGTAAATCATAAATAAATAAAATAAAATGCATATAACCTGAGGTCTCGATCAGGATAAGCATTGTGAAAGCCATCATCAATAACAGCATGCAAAGTAAAAGCATGGGAAAGAAGAGAAGGGGGATTAGGGGCTTGGCCCCTTCGGTGCTACGCTCATACTGCAAAATCACGAACCCCGCTTGCCCAGACAACTCGCGGCCAGACCTTTGCCAGCAGGTGTGACCCTTTCCTTGGAGCCTGGAAACACTGCTGCGTGCCCAACAAAAAAAGCAAAGCGGCGCATGCGTTTTTTTTGTTTTTTTGTTTTTTTCCCCCCCCAGCAGAACATCTTGGAGGGGCCTATTCCTGGAGGTGATAGGAGCAAAACCCCTACGAATTGGACCCCCAACGGAGATGGCCCGCCTGTTCCCGGAGGTGATAGGAGCAAAAGCTGCAAAACCCCTATGAATAGGACCCCCGACGGAGGCTCCGTCTATTGGTCGGGAGCTGCACCAGCTGGAAACCGGGTCCAGCATCCCATGAACAAAGCGGGAGTCTGTATTGAGCTACCAGAGACGATGAGCAGCATTGAGCGGGTGCCGCCATCCATTTTGCTCCAGTAGGCCGACCCCCAAACCTTGCGTCTCGTTAATGGCCGCGTCCGATAAAAAAAATGGCTGGGAGAAATACTGGTTGTTTGTTTAGCAGCGTTGAGTTTCCTAAACACCCGAATCTGGACATGTCTGTGCAGACACGTGCGTTTGAGGAATATGTCTGAATCGTATACCACAAACCAGGGAACGCCAGGGAAAGCCAGGGAAAGCCTGAGGCAACTCTCTTTTCAATCTATATACTCAGCTTCAGTAACAAACAAACAGAGAAGATGAGTGAAACAAACGGACCTTACCTTAATCACATATGCCATGGTAATCATTTGCAACCCGTTTTTCGTACATCGGCATCTTAGTTTGAAGAACTCTTCCCTCATGCGCCGCATGTTCGGCCAATCGAACTGCACTGAATCCACACACAGAAGTGGCACTCCTCCGCCAAGCCGCTCGTATTCGTCCTACATGTTCCATAGCACGAAGCATTCATTTTGAACATCATCCTCTTCGGCAACTCACCATTCTCTTTCTTTTTTTCTTTTCTTTTTTTTTGTCTTTTTTTTGTCTTTTTCTGTCTCTCTTTTTTATATTAAAAGGGTAGATGGCCTTGAGATATCATCATCATTGAGCTGACTGGCCCAGGTAATTCACAAGTAGGTTATTCTGGGCATCTGATTGTATCTAGATCAGAACTTGACTCTGATTCATATTTCAACAGTTTGTGGGTGTACCACCTGAGCTACGCTCGTTGGTCACCATTCTCTTTCTCCTTCTTGTTGCAAGGTTTCTTTGTTTTTGGATGCCTCAGCTCTAGAGCTTACCTTGATGCAAAAGCTGCGCACGATAACAAAAGTACTCTTGCACCCGGCCCGTGGGCTTCGCTTGACTACTCACGACATGCACAAAAGACACAAAAATTATGGTGGTGAATCTTTCCATGTTCTAGCGGGAGATTCACTCTCATTTTGTAAGTGGATGGTACACTTAACTACGGACGTAAATCTTAGTAAAGAGAACATGACAATGGAACGGTATTCACCTGTTTACGTCGGCAAGTGGGCAAGTGGTGAGCCCAGCTGCATTACGTCGGCAGTGTGACTGCATTGAGTTGGCAGTGCAAACCCATGCAGTCAGCGGTACCGGTCCAGTCAAGTCCCAGTCCAGTCAAGCAAGTACCATTAGGGACTGTGTGCACCATAGGCCTGGTGGAGAGGGGCAGACCAACGAGTTACAGAAGTATAAATCAAGAGGCAGCGCCCAGCCATTCATTCATTAGCTGCGTAAGCCATGCGGAAGCGCTGCTACAGCGTCTTGTGCAAAGGTGGTCTGCAGGTTGCCCGAGGTAGACGTGGGCTGAAGGGAGACATAGTAGCCATAGTAGTAGTGGCGAGCTGCCATAGCCGCCGTAGGGTAGAGGTAGATGATACAGTGTGCCGCGTGTGGGATATCCAGGGTGATCCTAAGTTGAGTGTGTGTGAGTAGCCTAGCTGAGCACAGTGACGGGAAGAGAGTTGTACAGGCGCTGAAGCGCCATAGCCTGTTTGAAGCGAGCAAGGATCTAAACTGTGTTTCCAGCTTCCATATCTCTGAGTTTCGAGTGGGCGCTGAGCGCCAGTGTGGCTTGCAATCTGTTTGTGTGAATTCGATGTGTGGAAGAAAACGAGTCTGATTGCACTGGTATCGGAGCAGGTACCCGCTATCCCATGCGTCATCGCCGTTGCAGCAGGAGAGAGACACGCGCCGTAGGGCGCCACAGTTGAAGAGCGCCGTTGAAGAAGGAAGTCCGAGAGGGAGAGAGAGAGAGAGAGAGAGAGAGAGAGAGAGAGAGAGAGAGAGAGAGAGAGAGAGAGAGAAGATTGGTTGTGTGGTCCAAGAGGAAGTGGCGGCCATAGCCGAGAGCTCGAACACGGAGTAACGAAGAAGGAAGGAGGAGACATAGCCGGGGAAGAAGGAAGGAGAGACAACGAAGTTGAGGACAGACAAAGCCGAGGGTGAAAAAAAAAAAAAAAAGAGAGAGAGAGGAAGGAAGACGAGAAGGGCGAGATAGAAGAAAGGTGAAGAGAAGGGGAGTTGGCAAGGAAGAAAGTGCCGGCAGCCATAGCCGACTTCGGAGTTGACCAGGTGTTGACCAGAGGGTTGACCGGAGCGTTGACAAGGGTTTAACCACGTTGACCAAGTGTTGACCAAGGCGTTGACTGGAGCTGTTGACCACGATTTTGACCAAGCTGGAGTTGGTATAATCTCGCCAAGCCCTTAGCCTATCCCCTCGCCGTATGGATGTGCACTCACCCTATGGTACTTGCTGAGTCTGAGTCTGTCTGTCTCTTCTTTCTGTATTGAGTCTCTTCTGTCCAGGTGATAGGACTCTGTGTATGAACGATAGGGCCTCGTTGACCAAACCCACACGGGTTGAGTAGGGCTAAAGGATGTCTGACGACTCGACCGTCCCGGAGGACATGAACCCTCCCAAGGACCGGTACTGACCAGCGGGCTGCTCGGTGTAGCACGGTAGGCCCAAAATCCGAGTTATGGGCTGCACAACGGGCCGTCTAAGTCTTGAGAGAACCTGCTGATCGCGTCGTCCTGTCTGCGACGTTAAAGAATTCATGAGGAGTTACGGGGGATCTCCTTAAATGCCTCTTGATCAGCAATAGGTTCTGTAGTGACGGTTGTAGTTTAGAGTCCAGGCTAGAGACCATAGTTGGCAGGGTTCTATAGGGATCATGTGGTCCTTAGATCGAGTCGGTCTTAGGTTGAGTCAGTTAGGGGGAGATTCTAAGTGGTGAGGAGTGGAACCGCCACTTGGTTATGCGTCTATCACCATGGTTGACACGCGTACCGAAACGAGCACCTCCCCTTACACAATAGAACAGGAGGCGAAAGCCGCCGCCATCTTGAAAGAGAGAAGAGAGAAAAAGGAGGCCAAAAAGAAGACCTTGCTGGAAGAACGGGAGGTGAAGAAGAAGAAGATTGAGGAGGAGATGGCGAGGGAAATGGAGAGGTTGCAAAAGGAGGAAGAAAAACTTTGAGCGGTAGAGGCAGAAGAGGAGGTAGAAGACAGCCACTGGAGAGAAGAAGGACGAGAAAGAGCAGAATCCAGTGGGGTGAAGGAGGATCCGTTGGAGAAGAAGATTACGGAATGGGTGGCCAATTTATCCCTGGGAGAAGAGGAGGCGACATTAATGTATGTACCCAGGGAAGAGCAGGAGGCGGCCATGAAAGAGTGGGATGCAGAGGAAGATCCAGACAATCGAAGAGGATGGAGTGGATGCTGCCGCTGATGAGGGAAAGGAAAAGAAGAGTGGATGCAGTGAGTCAGGCGGCAAGAGAATTGGAAGAAATAAAGCAACAAAGAGCGTAGATGGAGGCATAGGTGGACCTATTGGGCAAGGTGCACGTCATGGCAAGGAACATAGAGCGCCTGGCCCAGGTCCAGGAAGAGCAGTATCAATTTGTTAGGAGTCAGGACATAGCCCTGCGGTCTATACGGCTGGGATTCAAGGACTTTGCACGTGAGTTGGTGATGCAGGTGGGCTATGAGGTGAAGGCCCGCCTAGAGAGCACAGAGCGTTATTGCACGGGCGCCATAGAGGGCGCCAGGCTGGCGGCACCCAAGGAGGAAGAAGCACGTCCTCATACAGAGCCTATCGAAGTAAAATTTCCCGACTCCTATAGTGGAAAGAAGGAGAACATTGACAACTGGGAAGCGAATATTAAGACGTATGTGCACTTGCAGAAAGTCGCCCCAAACGAACACGTCCTGATAGCTACCCACGCTCTTAGGGAGGACGCAGCAAGCTTCGCCCGTTCCCTGTGTCGCGCCGCCAATTCCAATGATGACTTAGTTGCATATTCAGCGTTAACCCCTCTAAGCGATTTCCTTAAGTTATTGAGGGAACGGTTTGCAGACGTGACCCGTAGTGTCAAAGCCTCAGATAAACTGCAAACCATCCATTCTCGCCAATGGAGGAGTGCTAGGGCACTCAAAGGTGTAATGGATGAGTTGGTCACCGTTCCTTACCATGGGGTCACTGAGACCCAATTGGTCAACCTCTTCTATCGTGCTATGCCCGAACAGCTACATGGCCATTTTTTTGAAAAAAGTCACCCTATAGGAGAAGTGGTTGGCACCCAAGTCTGCCACAGAGCGGACCTCAGGAAGATTTGGGCCTGGACCAGCGCGTCTGGCAACAACGTGTGGACCAGGCGCAGTGCAAATATTGCGGTGACCCTGGCCACATCATCAAATATTGTCCAGAGTATAGAGAGGCCCGATGGGCTGCCCAGGGGTCAAAAGGCAGCCGCCGGTAGGGGTTGCAACTGCCCCTACCATAAGGCCATGTGGGGAAACGAGCGCGAGCCGACAGAGAACTCCCACACCACATGTGCCTATGGCATAGGTTCTAGGCCGGTGCCTAGATAGCTGTCCAGAGACTGTCTGTGTTAGATTCTCTTTAGGCACCTCCCTCACAGGCGTGGCTGATGAGCTAAAGGAGAGAATGCTCGCCTGGGCCAAGATGAAGAGAGAAAGTAGAGGACAACTGATACTAGTAGACGTAGAAGTCTTTAGGAGCAGAGTAGGGGCCCTCGTAGATAGTCGGGCCACTCACAGCTATATTAGTAGAAAGGCGTTGCAATGCGAGTAGAGGATTATGTAGAGGGAGTCCAGGCGCACTTCCGTCTAGAGAAAGATGGGAAGGTGGAGAGAGTTCTCCACTCCCTAACTTTCCTCATAGAGGATAACCTTCCCTTCGATATAGTCCTAGGAATGGACTGGGGAGAGGCAGCAGGGGTCACACTCCATTTGAGAGAGCACGAGTGTAGGCTCCCTAGTCCATCAGGCGGGGTCAAGACTACCCGTCGGTTTCATGTGTCAGGGGTAGATAACTCTCTGGCACACTGCTGCCTTAGCACTCCTGCGTTTGCAAGGCTAGTGAAGAAGGAACAACTAGAAGAACAAGTTTTTGGGGTAGATAACTCTCTGGCACACTGCTGCCTTAACACTCCTGCGTTTGCAAGGCTAGTGAAGAAGGAACAACTAGAAGAACAAGTTTTTGTAACCTACGTTACGCCGGTCACTGAGCCTAAAGAGGAAAAACCCTTAGATCCTGCTATTGCCAAACTGTTGGAAGAGTACACAGACCTAGCTAAGACGCCGACAGGGGTGGTCCCGCGGCCCATCCAGCATCGTATCGAGATAGAGCCTGGCATTAGGACTCCTAAAGGAGCAGTGTATAGGTTGTCCCCGCGAGAGCTGGAGTTGCGCAAGCCGTTAGATGAACTCCTAGAGAAGGGTCGGATTAGGCCCAGTTCGTGTTCTATTTGTTCCCAAGAAGGAGGGAGAGCTTAGAATGTGCATTGATTATAGGGGTCTAATTAATTCAAATTGGAATAAAATATGCTTATGATATACTCAAATTAATACACATAAATACAGAATTAGACTCAGTATGTATCTTTA